ATGCTCTTGTGCGTGAACTGCTAAAGGCTTCTGAAGACACTCAGTCCCAGTATTATTCCTGTCAATCCTGCCATTATTCCAGTGAGTCTGAGGGTGCATGCAATATTCTGTGGGACACATCCAAGCAGATCTGGAAGAACAGCCTGTACAAGGGAGGGTCATACAAGGGTCAGAGTGTGACTGCCTGGATGGGTGCCATCTTCAATCAGAAGACTTCTCAGATGTGTCCCCAGTGTGAGCGCACACTCCATCAATGCATCAGATATGATGAGCCTCCAGCATTCATAGCACTGAATATTCACAACATCAAGGCAGATATTTGCACTGAAGTCACACTGCCTGATCATCCTGAGCGGTATAGGCTGTGTGGTCTGATCTACTTTGGAAAATTCCACTTCACATGCTGTGTTGTGGACAGGCATGGTGATGTGTGGTTCCATGATGGGATGAAGACTGGGACTAATCTTGTGCCAGAGGGTAATGTACTGAGCCTGGACTCCAGCCTGCTTCAGAAAGCAGGTAAGAGGCGTGTTAGTGTACTTGTATATACCAGAATGTAGACTAGGATTACCTCAGCATTTATAATCAATGTAGTCCTTTGTAATTGCTATTAGAATGAGATATATATTAAATGTTTGACTTTGTAATCAAAGTAATCATTGTTGGCACATAATTTTCTTCACCATATAAAAGTATGACTTCACATTTACTCCAACTTTGTAATGATTATAATTATTTGTAATGAATATCCACATCCTCATCAATCGTACCTGCCGGACACGGCCCTCTTACCCAAGTTCGATGAGTCGGGATTGGGGAAGGTCATCCCCGTCCGGATCCAAACGCGCATCGGCGTTGACCATATCGTAGTCAGGAATCTCGTCATGATAGTTATCATTCTCGTGGTAACGAGATAAACAGTCCGCTACCTTGTTGAGTCTCCCGGGTACGTACGTGATATCGTACTTGAATCGCGCCAGATATTCGTACCAACGAATTTGGCGACAACTCGGGCGTTCTATGCCCTGCAAGAATTCCAACGCTTTATGGTCGGTTACGACGTGTATGAGACGTCCGAGGAGCTTGTCCTCCCATTTGAGGAGTCCCTCCATGATGGCGAGTGCTTCCTGCTCGTACGTATGGTACGCCTTCTGTGCAGAAGAGAATTTCTTCGACAAGAATCCTGCGGGTCTGCAGGTTTGCCAGTCCTTGCCCTGGCCGTACACGGCCCCAATTCCGTAGATGGAAGCATCGCAGATGAGCCAGATCGGCTCGGGCAATCGAGGGTCGATTGGCTTGAGAATGGGCACCTTACACGCCAAGGCTTTGATAGCTTCAAAACACTTGTCGTGTAGCGTACGCCATACGAATGGTTGGTCATTGCGGACCATCGCAGACAGAGGCGACGTATACACCGTGACATCAGGCATGAAATGGGCTAGGTAATTCACTAGCCCTAGGAACCGTTGTACCTCATGGTACGATCGAGGAGTGCGCCAACTCCGAATACGACTCATTTTGTCGGTATCAGCGTGTAGTCCGCGATCGTCGATACGATGGCCAAGACAATCTAAGTCTTTCGAGTATAAGTCGCATTTACTGCAACTTAGGAAGAGCTTCGCCTTCCGTAATACCTCGAACACCTGGGCCAGGTGTTGCTCATGTTCTTTGAGCGTGTCCGAATAGACGAATATATTGTCTAGGTAGACATGTACGAATCGTCCGATAAAATCGCGAAATAGCGTGGTCATTAGACGTTGAAACGTCGAAGGGGCATTCGTGTCCCCCTGTTGCATGACTTCGCTCACGAACGTCCCGAAGGGCGTCGCAAATGCGGTTTTCCAGATGTCTTCGGCCACAATGCGCACTTGTTCGTACGCGTCGGACAGGTCTATCTTAGACCGATATCGGGCCCGAGCCACATCCATTCGGATCTGGTCCTGGTCCAGGAACGGGGTCAGATCGTGGACCGTGTTGTCGTTCCTCTGTCGTGCATCGACGACCGTTCTCAACTTGCCATTCTTCTTGGCCACACATAGCAGCGGTGCTGCTTGCGTTACCGTGGCCGGCCGCCACCATCCCGCTTTCACATAGCGGTTGATTTTTGTCATTAGATCAGTCTTGATCGCGTCGGCGCACCTAGGCAGGTGGTAGCGGTAGATCTTTTTCTCGTCTATGAGAGGAATCCGATGATTCACTTCTCGGAACGGAGGGAGTTCCTCCGGAGCAGGACGCATGATGTCCTCAGTGGATTTATACCACTTCTCGCGGAGTTTAACCAGCTCCTTCTCCTCGTCATCGTTGATGACGAACCCGACGTGAGACCGTCGGATTTCCTCGTACTCCCATGCATCGCTCGCTATGCGATCTAGCATCTCATTGACCCCATATGGGTCATCGAATCCAAAGCGGTCCTTGCGTGGACCCTTCGACGAGTGAATCGTCGGTACTATACGCTCTGTAATTACAGGAGCAGAGCTGGTGACGGCTCGCCCTTGGTGTCGAACCGGAATTGTCACGGCCATATTGCCGTTCCCTCCCCCTTCCGATGACCGTTGCGGTCCTGCATAGCGCGTATGGGGAGGTTCCACTTTCGTGGACTTCGCCATGCTCCCCTATTGGACCAACGGTCCGTTCTCGGTTACCCACTTGATAGGTTCCTTGAACGACCGTTTTGGTGTCTTGGAGGAAATGGCCTCCTCCTTGAATAAAGGAATGCTCTGCTTCCCGACCAACACCTGGTCGTTCGCAAAGTCCAGTACAATACCGTACTTACGACAGAATACTGTCCCCAATATTGCGTCGTACTTGTCGATATCGACGACATCGAAATAATGTGTATTACGCACTGAGTTCAGTGCGATTTTGGCTTGCGCCCCGAAATTGATCTTCGTACGACTACCCTTAGTCCCCAGCTGGAGGCCTACTGGCTCCTGCAGGTCAATCCTGCCCGCCTTGCACAGATACGCAAACTCCGGAGTAATGGAGTCGGTAGTGCAGCCCGAGTCAAATAGCACTAATGCTTTAATACCGTTGATCGGTATCTCCGCACATAGCGTGCGTTGAGCTTCGTGTACCCGTTGGGGCTGAGCCGCCGGGTCCTCAATCTTGCGGACTTTTGCGTCATAGATCCATGCGTGACGCAGACCGCGTTCATTGGCAATAGCCATGCTGTGGATCCTTGGCTCATTTGCCAATCCTTCTGAGGTGATTGCCTCAACTCGCATGCTTGCCATATACACGGTGTCGTCGTGTTCGAAATCTTCCCATTCCGACTGGACTTGTTCGTCCGCGGATTCGTATTGCGATCCTACGAATTCGAATTCGGACTGAGGGAGGTCCTGGACTGTTTCGGCCTGTAGGTCCAGTCCCTGGGTGTTCTCCGGAGTGCCTGCGTCATCGGCCCGGTCGAACTCGACCGTCTGTGTCTCGATGGGTGCGTCCGGTTGTTCATTGTCCGAAGTGTCGTCCACTACCCGTTGCGCGAACATGCACTGACCAGGGGTGGTCTTCTTGCCATGGTTGGGGCAAGCAGGGTCTGATGCGAAATGCCCGATTTGCCCGCACGAGAAGCACTGCGATGCTGCCTTGGTGGCTGCAGGCTTCGGGGCGGGACGAGATACCTGCCCGGGAGTGGGTCTTGGTCGATCGATGCGACCTGGAGCCGTACGAGACGGACCCTGTCGCCTTACGGTGGACAAATTCGTCCTAGGCGAGGGCTCCGCCGCGGGAGGTCTCCGTGGCTGGGAGTTGTTCGAACGGGTGGTGCGATGGTCGTTCGACGACGAGGGATTGTTGGTTCCCGGGGTGGTGTCGCGGATGCGACGGCGTTGTTGTATCGCCCGTGAACTCTGCTCGATCTCGAGGGCAGCCTGATAAAGCTGAGATAAATTATTATATTTAACGGAGAGGCCGTTAAGTACAGTGAGAGTATTCTCATAGCTGACGGGCAACGTCTCGATAAACTTGCAACGTATCTGAAAGGGAGAGGGCTTCTCCCACATCTTCTCGGTGATGTACAGTAAGCGTTCGTACAACGCGGCGACACCGCCCTTATTGGGCTCGAATCTCAGATTATCATACTCCTGAGAAGCTTGGAGATGATTATCTCGGTGGATGAACCGTCGGAATAAACCGACTATGGCTTCCTCGAACAACCACTCCCGACGTTCACGGGAAGGAGATTGTACCGTATTGTACAGCCAAGTGGCCGCGTCGTCGGCCAAGCAGTCGCCCAGTATTCGTAGACGATCACGGTCCATGGAAGGGCCAGTTATCCGAAGTGTACAGAAAAATTTGAGGAGGTTATGAAACCAAATCTCGAAGGCGTCGAGATCATCCTTGCCCGCATACGGCTTCGGGAGGGTCATCTTCGTGACCTTTAAATAAGCCGGCGGGCTGGAGGTAGGTTCCTCTCCGACCATTTTGTCAATCATCCCAAGAAGCCGTTGGACTTCACGGGTGTCGCGAGGTCCGTAGCTGGGACCGGTGTACGCCAGCTCCTCGGACCAGTTTAGGCCCTGCTCAGGGACAACTGGGAGTCCGGGGTGTACAGAGACACCAGGGGCCATGGACCGACGCGGTCGCAGTACGAACTGTTGGGGTATCGCAGTAGACGTGGCAGGTCTATGATCTCTACGAGGAACCTGCGACGCCGATTCGTACTGATCCCAGTCCGGAGGTGCGGTGATGTTCGACGGTTCGAACTGTCCGAAAGCTACACTTCGTCGGGGTTGCTCTGCACGAATGGGTGCGGGGCCTCCGGGAGCGGGGGATACGATGCGGGAAGGACCCGCTGTGGGACCGACTTGACCAAGTCCAGCCCGGCGTAGTCGTTCCACACGATCATACTCCATTTGTTGTCGGCGCACCTCACTGGGTGTTGGACTCGGGGGGCCAGCCAGGTGGGCCTCCACCTGAGTGGCGTCAATAATGTCCTCGACGTTGTTTCCGGGACCCACTGTATGGTCCGCCCCTTGTTGGGCCATTTCTCTCATTTCTCGCTCGAAAGCAGCGAGCTGGTCATTGAGCTCGGCCTCAGCGAGCACGACTTGCTCTCTCAACGCCTTATAGCATTCCGACGAGTCGCGCAGGAATCCCATGATTCGTAACGCAGGCGCGGGCTGAATCGTTTCTCGCCGCTGCGAGTTCTGCCTAATATCGGCCCAGGTATCACCGATCTGCTCGAGATCCTCAGTAAGATTACTGGTGGATCCGGGACGCGGAGCGTCCGTAGTGGGGGCCCGGGGAGGCTCGGCATGTTGGGGAATGCCCCCTGGGGCCGAGCGTACAGACCCAGTGCGCGACGGTGCGCGCAGAGCCTCGGGTTCCAGCGTATTACGTCGTGGCGAATTCGCAGGAGCTGCCTGCGGCGCTGAGGGTGGATTGGGCACGAAACTTCGTGCGGGATCGCCCCGGGGAGATGGGGGTTGGCCCGAAGGCCCAGGAGCCGCAGTTGGCGGCGGGTTTGCATCGCCCGAAGTGACAGGTTGCGAAGAACCTGGTTGGTTGCCAGGGGCTCGCTCAGGGCGGCTGGAAGTTCCAGAAGGCTGCGTGGGGTCCATATCAGGACGCTGTCGTAAGGCGTCCGAGTTCTGATGACGTGGTGACGTCGAGCTCTACTGATGCTTTGAACGAAGGTTCGTTCTCGCGGCTAGAGTAAAAAAGTGTAAGTATACGTGACCTCTACCGGTCCCCGGTATCCCGCAAGTACTCTGGACCGGGCTGTATTGCTCGGCGTACTCGTAGGATGGTGGGGTTGGTAGAAGTCAACCCCACCAGACGCCCAAGGCCCGAACCTTGGGGCGTCGTACGCTTACGTAAAATACATGACGTAGCACATCTAATCTAAGGGCGCCTATGCGCCCTGGGTCTCCGAGGTTCTCGGAGACATCGGTCTCCTTTGCTGATGACGGTTACTCGTCCTCCGCGCACGACCTAGCAAGGTCTGGTTATGATAGAACCGACGGGTTCTTACAGCCATGCAAACAACTACTTCTTCCCTGTCATGCAGCTCAACCTGTCGCCTGCCGCTGAGGCTAACACTGCAGGTAAGTGTTCATCTGTGCACATATTCATCAATCTGACACACCCTGCAGCGCAAACCTTTACCCAGAATATGGGTGCCTTTGCTGGCAAACACATCGATTACCACGATGCGTTGAACGGGTGGACGCACCTCCTGTGCCACAGTGACCTTCATGGTGGTAAAGACCCTGGGGTCTTTATCATCATGACATTCGGAGTGTGTGTTCGCTTAGGCGGGCTAGCATCTCTTCTGTTCTCTGGACGGCATGTGCATGGAGGTTTCGCACCCACCGCTAAGGCAGGAGAGAAGCCGCATCCCCATTCTTACCGGATGGTGATCGTCTCTTACCCTCCTAGCTCCCTGTTCAACATAACTGGTAAGGTGACCCTAGGGTATACACCTGAGGGTCCCTTGAACATCTGTAAGGAATTCGTTGATCCAAAGTGAGTGTTATTCTGTCTCTGTCCTGTTCATCCTGACCATTCTTCAGGTATGATGAGTTGGTCATCAAGGGCAATCCTACATCCATGACTGCTGATGCCTTGGCTATCATGGATGAGGAGGCGGTCATGGACTACCACGGGCGTAGCTTGGCTAACCTTGCTGCTGGCCTGACTCGTCAGCTCCCACCCTCACTTGGTGCTCACTTTGATGTCAACCAGTTCCTTCGTGCGTTCACGTACAAGGATCCGGTTACTGGAGAGGAGCGCCACTTGAACCCGTGGGAGCTGGGCCCAGGGTCGACAGAGATGTCCAGCCTTGGGTGTACCCGTGCTGGGGTCACTGCTGCCTGGGCAGATGCACAGGCTCGCCTCAAACCTTTCTTCCCTGAGCTCGAGTCCACTAAGGGCTTGATCATGGCGGAGGAGGAGGGCGATGAGTCAGTCCCTGCTACCAATGGGGATAAACCAGGTGAGTTGCGCATATTTGATGAATATGTGCCCATTGCTAACTTGGAATCAGGCGGGAAGCATCCTCGTGAAGAGGAGTGGGTTATGCGTACAATGACACATGCTGCAAAGAAGGCCAAACTCCATAAGCATTATATTCATCTACCTTGGGCGCATTTTTTGACCACTGCCTGCAGAATCCAAGTATTATGCAGGTAAATGGACTGTCTTATGCGCAAAATTGCTTGCTGACTTGTACTACTTTAGACTTGCAGGCTGCTGGTCAGAAGGGCCATATCCAGTCTGTCCGCAGGCTTCACCTTGGTGCTACAGGCATCAGGGTCTCCTCTCGCAAGAAGGGGCACGGGAAGCAGCGTGCAGGCAAGGAGCCTGAGCAGGGAGACGAGGTGTCTACTTCTCAGATGGTGTTGCAACCTCGTGTTGGAAAGGGCTCTGGTATGAAGGCATAGTTTTGGTCCTGTCTCTGTTCAGGTGTGAATGACATGCTCTTAGATGGTGAGAACCTTGGTGAGCCTGGTTCTGAAGATGAAGACACCTCAGATGGAGACTTCCGTCCTCCTTCTGAGCGTGTCTTTGCAGTGAAGCGTGCTGTCATCCAGATTTCTGAGGATGCACTCCCTGAGATCTGGAAGGACAGTAGTGCTTATGCTAGGGGTGACCATCCAGGTATTTTCATACACTTCTGGGTCTGACATGTATCTAATACAAGTATGCAGGGTGTGATGGCATATCTCCCACCGAGGACGGGCACGCAGTAAATGCTGAGCCTTCAGCCAAGCGTGAGTGGATTTTATATTATGCTAGTTACTGCACATTCTGACACTTCCCCAGCCTATGAGAAGGTGCTTGCAACCTTCTCAAGGCAGCATCTTCAGAAGCTGCTCTCTAAGCTCCAAGCTGAGGTCAAAAAGCTTGAGGCTGATCGCGCGCTTATCCAGTGCTACACGGGCACACCGCACAAGCAGATCTATATGATCTTAGAGGGCCTGTATAAGTCCTCAATATTCTCCCCTGCCTTTGTCTCTGCCTTCCCTAGTTTCTGGGATGCGATCACTGTGCAGGAGCACAAGTCCAACAACCATCATCTCAACCTTCTCCTTATGCGCTCTCAGATCATGGCCACCCTTGGATCTGCCTGGACTTGGCTGGATGTGCAGTTCCCTGCTATGTGCAGGGCCATTCTCTGTGATGAAGGTGAGTGTGTTTGCCCTACTTCAGCAGACATCACTCTGACAATACATTTAGTGGACTTGGGTGGAGAGGGCCATGGCTAGCAGGTCCGATTGATGAGAATGAATTTTTTAATGACATTAAATCACACTGCCATTTGTTATTTGCTCTTTGGTATCTGTGCTATCTAAATAGGAGTGATATATACTCCTATGTAGTACAGAAATACTGCATGTTTTAGTGTCAAAAGCACTGCAACAACACATCACAATTTTCTGAGTGATTCACCCTATTGGTGTATGCAATTTCAGTGTATGCAAATTGGATATTAAAATATACTAGTATACCTGTTATAAACTGTTTACAGCCACTGCAGAAGTACATTAGCAGATGTGAGACAATTGTGTCCTTCACAGTGCAGATGATTCATAAGCACTGATGTATATTATGTGCTATAACTGCACCACTTTCATCCAATCACAATATGCAGGACAATGTGAATCAATATTTTCTCACACATACAAACTATATCTGATCAATATTTCAGATGTATTCGTTTTCAAGCAGCCAGTATTCTTTTCCACTTCATTTGTCACACTCAGCTATTGATCCAATCCAAGCTTATGTTATCTGACCTCTGTGCTCAGCTAGGCAAGCCCCATGGTAAATCAACATTGCTGTGCCCAAGCCTTGAATAAAGTGAAACTATTGGCTTACTATATCCTAGATGTAGTCTTATACATGTTACATGACAGTCACTCCTTTCCTATATTGAGCAGGGCTGATTCTCTAGCATTAAAGGCTTCCTCTCAAGCTTAGGCAATTTACAGGTGAGAGTTTACTCACTACAGCCTATTGCTGTTTTTTGAGTTTGCCCAGGAAGACATTGATATTTGCAAGTGCATGGCATAAAATGGATCAGATAGACAATGAACAAGCCCTTCAATGACTAGCCTGATCATACACTTTACATTGATGATATTTCAGATGCTTACACTAGGCACTATTTTCAAGAGGCAACAGGGCAATTTTCAGCAGAGTGATAATTATATTAGGCTTCCACTATTATTTGTATACTCTACCTTGTGTACCCATATTACCTGATCAGATTGCTAAACATAGTGCAACAGCCACATCTTAGCTGTAATACTGCATTCATGATATTCTGAGCTCCTTCTAGGTACATGTAATAACCATATAAACAGCACCACATAATAGACATTGAAGTTCTAAACCTGGTGTTATAAAACACTAGGGGGGAGGCAATGATGTCATCAGGTCATGTGCCATGGGCGCTTTTTTCCGATAGTGGCACTAATAGGATTTCGTACTGCATATAGTGGCAGCTGCATGAGTCACATCCAGGTCATTTTGGAATATATGGACTCTGCTCATCCATTGATACATATTTTGTGGCATATGAACAACTGGGGGCCAAGATATTGAGACATTTGTGTTGGGAACCAAACAAGACCACAGTTGGTGGCAGGGGAGCTGTGCTCTGCGTTCCCCTGCCACAGAATGTGGTCTTGTTTGTTTCCAGCCACAGCTGCAACTCATTTTGCGCACTGTTGGCTCATTCCTCACCACAACTTAGGACATTTATACATCATTGGAAAGGTCTTTCTAATGTGCATCTAATGGTGGTATGATCATGGCATTTCATGGAATACACAGACTTCAATCCACCAAATACTAATTGTGGCTGAGGGTCATTACCAAATCATATGCACAACTGATAGCTTTCATGCTGGCTATTATATGTGGTCAGTCTCCTCATTACATCCACACACACTTTCATTATATAAAGCAGAAGATTGTACTAGCAAGGCATTATATAAACTGCATCCTTTGGACCTGAATATCTGTTTACCCCTATGTATGCCTCCAAATGGCATCCTATTGACTTGAAAACAGTGCCATTATGTAGAGCTCAATTTTCTGAACCTGATGGTATATAATACTTTATATTATGCTCAGAAAGACACTGACCTGGACTCACCTTGATCCCAATTAGTGACAGATTGTGACACAAAGTCACTTATGGTGAATTGTTTGGCTTCTAGTACCCACAGATGTGCCTGGAGCATTATACAAACACCCCTATTGGATTCCCCTCATTCACAGCTTTCTGATCATATATAATAGTGGTATGTTCCACCATATAGTCGCCTATTAATGAGCACATTATGTTGAGCTGTGGCTGAAAACAAACAAAGCCAAAGCTAGTGGCACGACAACGCTAATCCGCGTCGGTGTGCCATTTGCTTTGGCTTTGTTTGGCTCCAAACAGAGAAGGGTCAATATCTCAGCTCCCACTGGTCCAAATGGGACATATTATATATCATCAGGAAGCTATTGATAAGGTGAATCCATCTGTGCAAAGAGATAAAGGATCTGGTTTCATTATGATAAGATATCAGCTAGATTAATTCCCATTAGTGCCACAATTGGCAATAAGTGCTAGTACCATAGCACATATTCACCAAATGGTCAAGTGTCATATACCACTGGACTCAGAATATTGATCTCTATTCAATGGTGATGGTATAGATCTAGTGTACCTATACAATAGATGCTATACCTCAATATATTACCAGCAAGAGGTAAGCACAGATAGTTGGGTTTATATCTCTGTCAGTTTGGATGGTATATATATGATTGTTTCCATTGTAGACCCAGTACATTAAAAGGAACATAATGTACTGATAATCAATACCTGAACATAATATTGGGCTTCAAACATCACAAACATAGCATTTGCCTACAAAGTGGTGCAAAATGTACCAAATCGTGTTTTATGCCATACTGTGCTTACCAATAAATGGTGATATGTATATCATTGGAAAGTGGTTGCTGAGCTCTACACAATGGTGCTGGTTTTGGAGGGTCATATGTTGTCAATGGTCCATGAATTGATAATGAATGTGATTTAAAGAAGGCTTCACAGGGCTTGATCCTGTGGGCAAATAAGCGCCCTAAAGGCAATTTGGTGAAGTCCGATGGGCGCTAGTAGATTGCGCTGGGCCAGTGCGATCTACTAGTGCCCGTGGTACTTATCAACATTTTTTGAACAGCAGCCGCTTTTTGGCAGTATTTCCCCCATTGTTTCACCAGTTTTTATCCATATAGCACATATTATATATCATCAGAAACCTCTTCACGAGCCCTAAAACATGGTGCCATTACATTTGATATTGTTCTGGAATTGGGACATAGGAACAGGCAATACTTCAATTTTAGTCTTTTAATCCAAACATGGGGTAGATAAATTGAAGTTTCAATCACTCTAGTAACTACCAATGATGAAAGATGTACAATAACAGCTATGATGGCACTATAACATGTCCTATGTGTACACATAATTCCCTATCTGATACTTGATCAGTGTTCTCTCTTGGCGGGAATCATTATGGACCCTTCAACACTACTAGCATATTGCTAGTAATGTAAACTTTATAGTCATACCCTCATACTATAGTGCATATTGTGCGATGAGTCTATCTAAATGCTTGTCCAAGCCTGCATTTGAGCGTGTAGGAAGCGGCAGGAGTGTAGTGCCACCTAGGGTTACACAGACGCCCAGTGGGGTGCATTATAGTCTCATTACCAGTTGGTCAGAGTGGCTGTGTCCAGTGATCTAGTGTCTAACCCTAAAATTCCTAATGGAGGAGGACCCTAACCCTAATTTTGTAAGTGGAGGATGCATATGGCGCCTATCTCCAAACTAATGGCTGATTAGTGGAGTTTCAAAATATTTTCCCACGGGCATTGTTTTATGTGACGTGAGTTGGCAGGAAGCTCACCCTATAAGAAATGATTTCTTTGTTCCTCATCAGTCATAACCAAGGAGTTGGAGGAGCAAGTGATGTTGTACAACATTGTCTGTAGCTACATATGCCACATCATCAAGAGAGTCAAGACATCACATCCAAAACACGTTGAGAGCATCCAGAAGCTCAAGATGCTGCTTCCAAAGCTGTGCATGCACGCACGCAAGGAGCTCTGTTAGGTGGTCTATGCATTCTGCTATGTGCAAGACTTTGGCCTGGCCTATGGGGAAGGCACATGGGTGGAACTGAATGCTGCTGGTCTGTCCACCCACAAGATGACTGCTGGTGCATGACACGATGCTTTGGAGTCTCTCTTCAACTATTGGAACTGGCAGAAGACACAGCAAATGGGTGAGTATATTGCCGTGACAGCATCTGCATATGCAGCTAACTAACTGACCAGGTAAATTCCTCATGCACAAGCTCAAAGAGGCCTATAAGGTGCAGCGCAAGACAACAAGGTTTTTTGTGAACCTCACGGTGCATGCAGAACCAGCAAAGGTGGAGTCATGGCTGCAGATCAAATTGGACGGCGATGCACCAACACTGACTATGCCCCGCAAAAAGACCAAAGAGTACACAAAAAGCATCTACCTCTTGAACCGAGCAGAGTGTATGTCACTAGGACCCAAGGGCATGTGTGTGGCGACTGACATTGATGTTGTAGTTCCAAGCATTGAAAAGGCGCTGGATGAGCTAATGAATCCCACCAATCACGGTACTCAGCAGATGAAGGCAGCAGCACAAATGCATGGGCGAGTGGCCCTGTTTATCAAGACTGAAATCAAATTGGACTTAGAACAGTAAGTGGTACCGGATTGTGCAGACTGTATGTTAACAACATTGCGCAGGAAGCATCTGTGTTACATCCATGATCAACGGGTGACAAAGGGCGAGATTCTGGACGACAGTCTGGAGGTCAGCATCACTGTAGAGTCTTTTCACAACAAGCTGGGCAAATGGTGTGTGGCACAAACCAAGCTGATGCCCAATTGGGAGGAGCTGATAGCGCCAGGCATGGAATCAGCCAACAACAACGACAAAGAGAACAAGAAAAGGGAACTCTTGAGTGTTTTGGGCCTACCGTCCGATATTGAGGAGTGTGATTGCACCAAGTATGAACTAAACAAGGTGGCGGATCATGAGCTGACAATCAGGATGTTGGCATTCGACCAGCTGGACAGGGTACGGCTTGCAGTGCAGGATAGAGCTGCACACCTGGAGCACAAGAAGAAGAATGTGCATGGGAAGAAGGCCAACACACAAGCCAAGATATAAATTTGCTGGGCCGAGAAAAGGGCCCAACTGCTTGGCTCAAGGTACAACAAAAACTTCTTGAGAATTGTGGCCCTACGGGGTACGAAGTACAAGTGCAATGAGGACACGACACTGGGCAAATGGCTGCAAGCTATCATATCAACCTCAATAAGGAACTCACGATCTGCAGCATGCCGACACCACATAGTCTTGGGGAGAGCACCCATGTAGGCTCGTGGATATGGTCAGTTGGAGACCCTCCGGTGTTGTCCTCGGCGGCAATAACAAGAAGCAGCCAAGCCAAGGTTAATGCAGATAAGATATCTTTCAAGAGTGGTGTGCATGCCTTTACCCATTGTGTTTAATGTACACTGAGGGGCTTGACCACAGCTGACATGGCGCAGTGGTTACGGGCAAAGGCCAGGAAAGAGTGTGCCAACAAAGCCATGAACAAGATATGTGCAGAGTTCTGCCATACAGCGATGGCATATGGCCAATACTCAGAAATGTGGCAGCGTGGGGCCTCGAGCGCCACAGGAGGGGAGAGGGCCTAATGGCCTTATTTAAATAAATGTGTGCCTTGCTCTGCCTCCAAATTGCCATACCAGTGATGGTCCCACCCCCTGCATTGAATAACTAAGGGACTAGAATGGGTGTTGAGCCCAGATTTCTGCTAATTGTGATAGCATTTACATAGTCTATTTTCCTATGGGTGTACTGTATTACAGAGCACTCTATCTTATTACCACATTGGTCAATATTCTACTTTAAACAGAATATATAACAAGCTACAACAAATAATAAAATGCACCAAATTGTCTTCTATGCAATACTTTGCTTGAAAGAAAATGAAGATTTATATATCACTTGAATCTACTAGCTGAGCTATACATTTGAGTGTGCTTGAAGCAGCAGGTGTGTAGTACCACCCAGGGTTATATAGACACCTGCTGGGAAAAGTTAGAGTCTCATTACCAGATAGTCAGAGTAGCTATGTGTAGTAATCCAGTGTCTAACCTTAAGATTCCTAATGGAGAGGAGCACTAGTCATCAGGAAAAACCCCCCTTCTGAATTTGCACTAAATTATTGCCAACAGACAGAAAACTCCACTATAACATCTTTCACATTATAATAGTCACTATTTCTGCATACATCATGTTATGCACAGCTCTGAAGGTGTTTAAGTAGCCCTGCCCTGATGTGTATACATGTGAGTGTGTCTGGTTATGTATAGATGTACTTCCAGGGGTACTGCATAAAGTAGAAAATTCCTCTATCACATATACTGCTGGATAATTGGAGCTATCACTTTGAACACACCATTGAAACAGATTCTATGGGCATAGAAATATATTTGAAGTATAGATAACATTGCCAGGATACACCCAGACATCATGTAGTGGAGTGTGCCCATGGAGATGAGGAGGGAATGTGCGCAAGGGCACCGGTGACTAGGGGTGAACCAATTATAGAGTGGCTTTGCTGCAGTAGACTTGATATATGTTTGCTGTGGGCCAAAATGTCTAAGTCCAGAGTGGATGGCCATATAGCCTATGTACCACCAAGGAACCACAAGAAACTGTGGGGCAGTGGTTGATGCTACTGCATAGCATTGCAGTTCTGGGGCGACCCAGGAATGGTGAATGTGCAGGTTTAATCCCTGGTGTGTATGTTTGTTTTTGAGAAATTTCCTGCCACTCCTGCTTACCTGACATCCATGTACTACACATAGAAGACATGCCTAGTGGCCATTATATCTTTCTGTGGTGTCTAAACTCTGCAATGGCTTGTAAAAATGCTGCATCTAATGGTAGATATCAATGAAAATTAGTAGGGGACTGATCTAAAAGGCCAATTCCAGAAAATACAGAAAATTTGGGAGAAATTTTGCATATTATTTCTATATAGTGCACATCTGGAAGGGAGGTTTTTCATGATATAACCCAGGTTTTATAAGTGAGGGTTATATGTGGTGCCTATCTCAAAACTAATTGCTAAGTTTGAAAAATATTTTTCCATAGTGTTATACTCCAAGATGGATTAGTGTTAGGACACAATTAGGCATGCATAGATGAGATCAATTGTAGCCATGTACCTTAATAAGTGTACAACACCCAAAGGTTTGCGCCTCAGGTGTCTGGTGGGGCAGTGTTACATCCTGTGCGCCCAACCAAACCTCCGTACAGACTACTGGCATCTGACTCTATTCTGACTTCTTCTATTACTCTTGGCGCAAGGTGCCAAGGACTCCTCTAGACAAAAGACTTATCGTTTTTAGACATGTGTTATATCCTGAAGTCCCAGACTTTCCTTTCCAGTACTTCTTATTGTTTCTGAGAACAATTAGGCTTCTACATATTTAAACCAACCTGGATTGTACTGGCTACTCAGTTCAGATATCTCATTCACTTATCCAGTTCCTTTCTACCCTCCAACCTCCAAACACCCAAACCTCCAACCTCCAACCTTCGAACCTCCAACCCCTGAACTCCATCTCTAAGCTTGACTTTGATTTTGCTCTCAACCTCTCCCCTCTCCTTTCCACCTGACCCTCTAGTCTTGTCCCGGAACTATGTCAGTTTTGGTACTTGTACTCCCAACCCCCAAATCAGTACTTCTCATAAATTGAGGACACCCGACAAGTGTGCCCAGCGCATTACTAATAGTTTTGCAAAGTCCTCACATCCAGTGCTTGGTACTTTGGGACTTGTGTTAACCCCCGGTCCTAACAGGCAGAGTTTTACCATCCCTGCCATCCTATGAGTATGCTGAACAATTCAGCCCAGTCCAGGGTACCCATGGGATACAGGGCAGTTGTAGGACTTGCATATACTTACAGTATGAGATTCAGAAATTTATTCTATGTTCACTAGTGATATATAGTTCCAGTGGAGTGTGGAGTTATAAGTCCAATATTCCAATGGATGTTATGCATCAATATAACACTACTCAATTCAGGCCGTGTCCTGTCAGCCAGATAGGCGCCCAAAACATGGTTTGGTGAAGCCAGATAGGCCACCCTGGGCTAGTGCAATCTACTAGTGCCCATAATATTTTCTAAAAAGCAACTCTTTGTGAACAGTAGTTCCTTCGCTGTTCTGATGGTCGTTTTTCATTTAGCACACGTCATATATCAAGGGAGAGCTCTTCAGGAGCTCTGCAAGATAGTGCTTTCATGGCTTCAGTTTGTGCCATATTGGACTATAAATAAAGGGGATACTTCAATTTCAGCCTTCCACTCCCAACAAAAGTAACACTACATTATGTTTGTCGAAACAGCTCAGCTATGCTACTTTTTCTTCCCCTTCCTACCACTGTGTTGAGAGTGTGATGCAGCCAGGGCATGACTCGGCTCTTCTCGTAGATGTACGAACAACTGTGTGCGGTTCCCAAACTCCATACCACACACATGACAACCCTGATAAAACACACCATTTAGTACCAAATCCTCCAAAATGGACACAGACATACCTGCTTATCGGTAGGCTGTGCGCTGGTATCCTTGGCCTTCTTCACCGCCTCCCGAGCACGCCGCTTTTCCTTCTTAGAGAGGGTGCGCTCTTCCGACTCGGCGCGTTCGAGTGGTGGGATCGGAGACGGTGTAGAACTCTCCAAGCCCGCTTCTCCCGCCAGCTCTGGTACGAGATTTGATCCCGATACCGACATGTCCCTTTTTCGCGCACGCCGCTGAGACTTGGGCAAGATGTCCGGTGACGGAGCCCTCGACGACTTCTTGCTTTGTGGTTTCTGCTGCCGCTGTGCCTCTGGCAGCTGGACGTCCAGCTCTTCTTCGACATCGTGCTCGTTTGGCTTGCTTTCGACGCTGTCTTCGAGCACATCTTCAGGCGGGACCTCCTTTCGACCTCCTTGTTCGCCCACTGGATCCGCCGTGTCACCCACTTCATCATCCGATCCTGACTCTGGCGGTGCGCCCGCCTCCTCCGGCAGCCCAGTCTCGTCACCGTCGTCCAGCCCAAACTCCTCATCCTCCTCTTGCATCTGCAGCTTCAGGGCTTCGACCGCCTTCAGATGTTTCTTGCTGCGTTCGTGACTGTCCCACGCCGCCTCGCTCCGGAAACTCTTCCCGCACGCAACGCACTCCCACTCCTCGTCCTCGCCCTCAGCAGCGGCCCATTCGAGATCCGCAGCGTCGTCCTTGACCTTTGCCTTCTGCCATTCCTGCTCCACGAAGACGGGTGGTGGCGTTGGCGTCGCTGCTACTACCGGCTTGGTACTAGGCGTGCGTGCACCCTGCGGTGTTCCCTGGCCCTGCGCCTGACGCGCGAGGTGGGTCCTATACCTAGGATCGCGCTTCCGGATGAACCTGGCGAGTAACTGGGATCGCGTCGTATCAGCAAGGATTTTAATGAGGCCGGGCGAGCACTTACCCTGACGGCGTCGTTGTATTCCTGTCGCGCCTCGCCTCGCAATATCTTGTTATCGTGTTCCATCATCCTTCGGGTTCCGCGGTCCGGTGCGTCAGCGAGATCCCACCCGTCCGCCCACTCGAACTCCTTGTTCGTGACAAAGTTCGTCCAGTAGTTGTAGAACGTCCGTGCGCACTGATCCTGTTCGTCCCTCGAGGGCGGAAGCCAAGGCCACGTTGAAGATCCGAAGGAGGGAAAGGGGTCGTCCGTGTATGCCTTCTCGTCGTGGGCAAGGCGATCGAAGAGGTTGCGGTAGATTGTGAAGAAGCTCTAAGTGAACCAAATCTCGTCAGAACTGACAGCACACAAACGAGAGTGGCACGACATACATTTGGCCCGTCATCGACGCCATTGTATATTCCCGTATCGAAGAATGGCTTAAGGTGGCGTACGGACAGCCCCCGGTCGCGTGCCTTAGGAGGGGGCGCACCCCTCCTGATCTCGTCCAGCACATCGGCAGTGTTCGCTTCAGGTATGAGAGAGGCCCGGTGGCTGTCGTACCACGCTCGTTCCTACGTTGACGCGCCGGATGAGACGGCAGAAAGAGAGAGTGAAAACCAAGACGTACTTGCTCGTCGCTTAGGACCTGCGTGGGGCATAAGCTGCGCCGAAGGGGGAGCGCGAGGGCTCACGAAGCTAACAAACCTCGTATGCCTGCTGAATAGCAGCGAACCGCTGGGTCGCGCCTTCGGTATCGCCCACATTCTTGTCCGGGTGGTGGAGAAGAGCGAGCTTTCGGAAAGATCGCTGCAGCAGAGGTGGGGAGAGACATGTTGGCGTCAGCCGCGGATAGCCTGGAGTGATGGGTTCCGGAGAGCCGGGATGTAGGATGAAAGCACACCTTGATCTCATCCGCGGTGGCTGACTCTTCCACCTCCAGGAGGGCATAGTAGTCGGGACCAGCCGCTTGGGCAGCCCTTGATTCACCCGCTCCCATAGTCCCACACCAGCAGGGAAGGTATGTTCGTCGAGGTCGTGAATGTGTACGAAATGAGTAGAGGCCGACCGAGGAGAGAGTCGGAGATGATCGAAGCGAAAGAAAGCTGAGATCTGGGAAGCGCCCAGCGTCCATAACGGCTTGGGCGCCTCCCACTGCGGTGGTGACCGTCTCTGCTCACCGACCTCGACCTCGACCTCCTCCATTCTCTCCCAAAATGACTTCTCTGTTCGGCGGTAAATCCAGCACGCCGACGCGTGACCCTGCGGGTGCGTGCAGCCTCATTTTTTCAAGCGAATCATCGACAGACGTCTTGCCACAGAAACGGCCGTCCGTCTCGAGCAGCTGAAGAGCTCCATTCAAAATCAGCTCGCATTACAGAACGTGCAGGAAATCATGAACGTACGCCTTGCAATACTTGCTCACCGCCATGTGATATACCCACATCCGACTGCCACCAGAAACTCACCGAAAAGTGCTTCACGAAGTGCATCACGAAGCCCGGCGGCGCGCTCTCCGGCTCAGACGAGGTGAGTAGCTCTCATTGCCCCGTCGGCCGTCCACGTACCAACGGCATGCGTAGAAATGCCTCTCGAACTGCATGCAGCAATATCTCAGTGCATGTGCGTCATTTCATCTCATCCCTGCCGCGCCACGGCTGACCGACATGCCTTCCCAGACGACATTGTCAATGCAGCCTATGTTTCGCGTCTCCGGAAGGAGCGGTTGGACCAGCAGGCATCGTTGGAACAGCAATCATCTCTATAGACCCACGCGCCTGGCATCACCCCATGTCCACGCGGCTCAGCTCACACATAGTATAGCACCTAATAGACAATGTCTCGCCGAAGGAGGCCATGGCTGACAGTCGCCTCGAGTGGAAGTCTAGTATATGGGAAAGTTATTGTCGACATCCAGCGACCACGCCCTCAGCCCCCCTACCAGGTCCTTCACCAGCCCCGCCCTGCCTGCGTT